TTTTGACAGCTGCTTTTATTTTAAAAGAATCTCTGATCTTATTCAAATTTTTTTACTGTTGTATGTGGATGATATGCTTGTGGCATGCCATGATAAAACTGAGTTGCTTCGACTGAAGAAGTTACTGAACACCAAGTTTGAAATGAAAGAGCTGGGATAGTCTCAGAAAATTCTTGCCATTTTTATTAACAGAAATAGAGCTCTTGGAAGCCTAAAGTTAGTTCAATAGGACTATGCTAAGAAAATTCTGCAAAAGTTCAACATGCAAGATGCAAAGACTATCCAAACTCCTCTTGAAGCCCATCTAAAGCTTTCACATGAGCAGAGTCCATAGACTGAAGAAGAAAAGCTAGAGATGACAAAAATTCCTTATGCAAGTGCACTAGGGAGCTTGATGTACTTAATGGTGTGTTCAATACAGACTTAGGTTTTGCTGTAAGCCTTGTAAGCAGGTTTATGAGCAATCCAGGAATGTCTCACTGGATGCCTCTAAAGTGGATTATGAGATATTTGAAGGGAACCAAATCAGTGGGCATTGTGTTTAAGAAGAATCAAAGTTATAATGATTGTGTTGAGGGTTTTGCTGATGTAGATTATACAGGAGATGTGGATAGGAGGAAGTCAACCTCTGGTTTTGTTTTCACTTTGTGGGGAAATACTGTTAGTTGGAAATCCAAGCTACAACATATGGTTACTTTGTCTTCAACAGAGCCAGAGTATGTGGCATTGATAGAGGCAGCAAAGGAAGCTACCTGGTTGAAAGGTCTTGTAAATGAGTTGGGTATTGAGCAACAAACAGTGAAGATAAATAGTGATAGCCAGAGTGTAATCCATCTTTGTAAAAACCAAGTATTCCACAAAAGAAGCAAACACATAGATGTTCGCCTTCCTTTCATTAGGGAAATGATTGAAAATGGGGAAATCAAGATTGAAAAAGTTGATGGTTTACACAACCTTACTGATATGTTCACTAAACCAGTTCTAGTTGAAAAACACGGGCTCTGTATGAGCCTTCTTCAAGTTTAAGAGTGAATATATGTATTCCAAGGCCACATGGGGTGATAAATCAAGAAGCTAAGGTGGAGAATTGTGATGATGCGGCTTCTTATTTGCCACGATGGAAGTCAACTTTGGTGTTAGGAGTCAAACAAGTAGTGCGACGTCGTTTTGGATAAACCCATATGAATATTGTGTTTCGGCTATCACACTTCTCATGCTCAGCTTTCTTTTTTCTCTCTCTTTACCTCGATAGTTCATGACCCCAAAAGAATCTTCCAGATTGCTATTCATCTTACGGTTATGGAGAAATCGAAGATAGGTGGAGGCTGATCAAGGAAGGGTGCATGTGTATTTAACATCAATTGATGCTGAAGAAAAGAGCATATCTCATATTGGGAAAACCTAAGGTTTTCGGATTGGGTGTGTTCTTTCCCTCTTGTAAAGTTTTTCTTCTCTGATTTGTTCATCATCTTGTACACNCAATGATACACTATAGTTACTTTTATGCTTCATGAGCCTGTGACCAACTAACCATCTATATATTTATCTATATATTAATATAATCTTGAGACATACTCTGTTTGATTAAAATGTAGGATTTTTTAAGCTATAAGTTGCTCATTTTGACATGTTGAATGATTGTCCAACATGTGACTGCATGTGATTGGTGATGATGTGGGATATGTACATTTGGCTGTATGTGATTGGTGATGAGGTAAGATATTTGGATGAGTAGGATTTTTGGTTACATGCGGCTTAATATAATTGGTGTTTGATAGACATGTAGGATTTTTTAAGCTCTAGAATTGCTTCATTTTGATATGTTGGATGATTGTCTGACATGTGGGTACATGTGAATGTGACTGATGATAATGTGGGATATGTGGATGAGTAGGATTTTTGGTTAAATGTGGCTTAACCTAATTAGTGTTTGATATTTTTTTTAGTATTAATGACACATATTACACTGAACAATCAATAGTAAATTGGTCATAACTTGTTTTAGTAAATTGGTCATAACTTGTTCTAGTAAATTGGTCATAACTTGCTCAATAAAAGTCCAATTGATGAACGGATTGAAGCATGATAGACATGACTTTAATTTGATATATTATATGTTGAATTTGGTAACATATAATATATCAATCCATTCTTATATGTTGGAATCATTATGCTGAAGGGATTCAGAAAAAAGTAGACAATTGGAGATGGTAAAGATCCTTTATGGAGTCCAAGGACCCTTACAAGAAATTGATAACAACAATTTGCCTAGTAAGCATGTTTTGTTCTTAATATTCTAATTATGTATTAGTAAATAATAAAAACACATACGCACACACACTTATGCATGCATGCACAAACACACGCAGGCACACACATACACACGTGTGCACACACGCACACACATGTTGAAAGAAGAACTGGCTATTACAAATAATGATTGGGATATCACTTTTTATTTGTGGTTGGAAACAGAAGGGTGGATGTTACCAGCGTTATGTTTGAGAAGAATAGATGATTACCAAGTATACGTGCAAATTCAAAGGATTTACCGAATCACCAAGCAGCTCAGTAAGGCCACGTAGTTATGGTAAAGTACCTTTATGGAGTCCAAGGATCCTTACAAGAAATTGATAACAACAAATTGTCTGGTAAGTATGCTTTGTTCTTNCATATTGGGAAAACCTAAGGTTTTCGGATTGGGTGTGTTCTTTCCCTCTTGTAAAGTTTTTCTTCTCTGATTTGTTCATCATCTTGTACACTTTGGTTGTTAATGAGAATACCCTACTGTGAGCCTTGAAAAGTGGATGGAGGCCGCAAAGCCGAACCACTATAATTGTTGTGTCTTGTGTTCTTTTGTTAATTCTCTTTATTTGCTCATAGTTCTATTGATTGATTCTCTAAACTGATTGATTTATTTGTTCATAGAGAGTTAGTCAGTAAACCCTAGAATTCCAACAACATGCAAATATGGGAAGAAAATATGTGACATTAATTCATATATCATTTGGATATGGAATGAAAATATGTGAATTATTTTCTTTCCTAATTATGCTAAGATATGATTTTCTTTACTTTACTATCAAGATTGTATACCATTAAGAATATACCAGTCATGGACATAGATTATGGTCTGCCAATTTGCATTCACACATCAGGTTGGGCTGGCCAAATTTAATATAAATTAATTTCCATCTTCTCTGTATAAGCTTATGATAGATATCAAATGTGGCATTGATTTAAAAATTAATTTTACAGCAAATACAAGCTTTTCCTATGATGGGAGAAATTAAAATTTCTATTGCACTAAAAAGTAAAAACATTTTTTATTGATATTTATTGACGTGTAAATATGGGAAGAAAATATGTGACATTAATTCACATATCATTTGGATATAGAAAGAGAATATGTGAATTATTCTCTTTTCTAATTATGTTAAGATATAATTTTCTTTGCTTTATTATTAAGCTTGTATCATTATTTGTAATATTTTATTATTGAGATTGTAATATTTTATAGCTATCACACTTTCGTATAAATAGGCTGTATATTTACAACTCAATACAATTAAATTGAATTTCTTTCAAATATCTTTCGGGCATACTCCAACCATTTCAGTTGTCTCTCTTGCCCCTCAAAAATATCTTTCGGACATACTCCAACTCTTATCAATTATCTCTCTTGTCCTCTCAATTCTGAGAATATTGTAAAGTAAGTAATTTTAAAGCAGTAGATAAACATCCACTACATGAGATGTGAAAAGCATCATTTAATACAAATCCGAGATATTTCATTTTTTTTAAAGAACTCAAGTTGGCCGAAAGTCCTATAAACAATATGAAAATTAACTCATACTCTAGATTTGATTTATAAATTTAACATCCAAACCGGAGAATTTTCAAATATAAGTGATATATATACAGTACATTGATTCATATGAATCATAAGCCATGAATTGCTAGGATAATAAATATGGATTAATTTCCATATTCAGGCTTTACTTTTTACTCTATGGGTGCGTTTGGTTCAGGGAATGTTGGATTACTGAAAAATTAGATTACCTTGAAGATTACTGAGAATCTTGGTTAGTGGAATAAATTGGTAGGTATGTTATTTAAATTACTGAATTGTCCTCTAATTAAATATTATTATTTAGATAATTATTTGGACTATTATAACCCCCCTACATTTAAAAACTTAGCAAAAACAACCTCATAATAAAAGTTTGAAAAATCAACAATGCACCCCCACCAACCTAGCCACTGCCGATCGCTGGCAACTAGCGACCTAACGGCGCATGGAAGGCAAGAAATGGCCTACGTGCACCGTATGGCCATTTCTAGCTAGAGATTTGGCCGAAAATTGCCATATCGACGCATGACGGCCATTTTCGGCCTTCCGTGTGCCATTCCAATGGCAGCGGGCCGCCAACGATGGAAGGTGGGTGGGGGTGGTGGCTTGGGTGAGCTGCAATTTGTTTTGAATTCAAGGGTGATTTTGTTCAAAAAGTTGATTAATTTAGGTGAAATAGTAAAAGTCATATTCATATAAATTAATTTAAAAATAAGGGTATTATTGTCCTAAATTTTTTTTAATAAGGGATAAAATTGTAACAAAAAAAATTACCTTAGTAATCTTACAATACCTAAGAAAATAGAGGTAATCAGATTCCCTCTAATATTATCAATAGTAACTATTATTGGTATTTGAAGATTACCAGAATCTTATATTACTTAGCAACCAAACGTGGTAATTAAGTAATATAAGATGATATAACCCCAGTAATCCCACGTAATCCCCAACCAAACGCCCCCTATGTGAGTACTTCTATGGATCTAAAAGAGCTTTTAATAATAAACGTAGAGAGGATTTATATAATTTATTTATCCCCCTTATAATAATTAGGGTTAGACTCACTGAACTAGTGTTTGCTTCTTAATTAATTATCTCATTTGATTCAATCTAAACTCACATTTCTGGTACAAAGGTAAATGCACTATTAGCAGGTCTCAAAAAATTTATAAACTGGCAGGGTGTTCGGATAGAAAAGTCCAAAGTTCTGCTCTACCCCGGATTCTTTCTTATTCTCATTGAACATTTCATAAGTAAATACATCCAAAAGATTGTCTGGTCTTCTTGGTGTTTCTCCGCTTAACACATGAGAGTAAAGATTTTGATCGTAAATTCGTGCATTTTCCTCGCTTGTATAAGGCTTTTTCCCAGCACTCGGCCAACCAGTCCCCGAAATGTAAGTAGAAACATTGCCTGCGTTCACCTTCTCCAAAGCCGCATAAACATCATCAACCATTGCATCAAAGAGATTGTAATACTTGAAATTTCCATCCACCACCACAGGCTGTTTGGCATTGAATGTTGCATACTCAAATGAAATGTGTTTCGGGTCTGAGGCGTACGCAAAATAAGGGTACACATTGATCATAAGGGGCGTACCAGTGCGCGACAGAAATGCTGTAACATCATTCATTGCAGGAAATGCTTGGTTGGAGAATTCCCCGGAGGGGGGAGGGAAAGATTTTGCAAGGGCTTGAGTTGAAATAACGGCTGTCACTCTGGTGCTTACAAGGCCAACTGAATTAATTGCAGTGTGCATGTTGTTCATGGCTCCATAGACATCCATAGTATATGGACTTGGAATTACCTCATTGCCTAAAGTGATCCAACCAAAGGAAACGTTGTTCTTATTTGATCCTCTCGTTGGCTGAATATTGACTCAAGGCCAGTGATTTTAGATCTTCAGTTCTCACACCGAGAGATACTAGGATGTTTGAAGATCGTAATGCTTCAAGAACTTCCCGGTTTGGCTCAAAGAGTCTGATAAATTCAATTCCACACTTCCTGTAAAGTGTAATGACAACTAAGGACCATAAGCTCATGAAACAGATACACTTCCTTAAATATTGAAAACAAGACACTTGAATAAATATATCTATAGAAAAAAGTGTTCAACTATGATGTTTCTAGGAGTAGTTTCTGAATATAATTCTAAAAACTAATTCAAAATACAAAAGCAACAAGAAGCACAGCGACTGCTTTAAATTGTGGAGCTAAATAAGAGGAATATTACCAGTGCAAAGAAGCATTTGAATTGTTAACAGCAAATTGACAACCGAAAAAATTAAACAGTTCCACACAACCCCCGTCATTTCTCTGAAGTTTACCTTCTCATTACTAAGCCAATTTTTTATACCAGGCACCAAAGTTGTGCTTTATGCATAAAGCAATCTGGCCTTCGACTGACTATATTAACTAACTAAAATTATTGTTTGTCTTCTGTATATCTACTAATTTTAGTTCAAAACATTGTTCAACTTGGATTTGAAATTATCTCACAACTAGCTGGATAGAGATATTTATTTAATAATGGGGTATCTAAATTAAGTAAAAACTTAAATGTAGAAGCCCAAAAAAGAAAAGAAGTAAAAGTCAGCGGAAGAAAATTGATTTTTGACTTTTTGAGTTCTTGAGTTTGAGTCCCCCAGACACTAATAGGGATTGTTATTGGGCTGATGAACACCCAACCTGCAAATCCACAATAAAACCAACAATCTATCCATAACACAGCTAATACACACACTCACATGTAAAAATACTCTGTTGTATTGCCAGTCACACAGAACATTACATCCAGAAAGATTCACATAGCAACAATGTCCTACTAATACTCAGATAGCAATTACACAGAGAGAATAACAAAGTATACTAAGAAAGTTGTAAACATAAGACTGACTTCGAGGGTCAGCAGCCTCCCATTTACTGACTTCGAGGGTCAGTAGCCTCCCTTCCAAAATGACTTAGTAATTCTCGATACCCTCTCTTTCGTTCCTGCCCTTTTTATTCTCTCCTGACACCTTTTGATTTCTAACAGAATTCTCATCTCTCCTACTCCTACCAAGCCACCTGTCCCCTCATAACAAACTCTAACCTCCTGCCTAACAAATATTCCCCTGCTTCTCACCACTCTTCTTCCTACGGTAAACCATTCTTGGTTGCTCATCAGGCTCTTATCCGATCAACAGTTCCAAGGTTTCGGAAGATTAGTTGGGATACGCGTAAATTGATCCAAACACCCCAATTGATTAAAAAAAAAAAAAAATTTGATTCCTGAGCCATTTATTTTGACTAACATCTAAGATTTTGAGCGGCAGTAATAAACTATCTTACGTAATTGAAGTGATAGCAGGAGCTAATACTGGGTCTCTGACAAATTTTAAATTTCCTTAAAATATTTTTAGGTGATAAACTCTTGAATTTGGCCTTGTATTGATTCTGAAGGATCGAGTCACACACAATTGTTATCAACAGTGTGAATTAAGATCAAATTTTTTTTGAATTCCTTTCTATTAGCTACTAACAAAAACAAGCTTAATATAAAACTTAGATAAACCTCCAATTAAGATTAGATCTGAGTCTAATACTATTAGTATACATATCTTTTAAAGCATTACAGAGCCGTGACATTTTATGTAGGAAACCTGTTTGTGTTTTGAGTTAGTAAAATTTTAACGGGTTTCAGATATTTGATACATAATCAATGAAGAGTATTACGTCGTTAAACTGTACTTAGAAATAAGATATCAATTTAACATTTAATAATTAAGGAAAGAATACATTCACTTTTAGTTAAGCATAAATGTAAATGTTTAATATGCATATATAATACAACCCATAGTCATAGATAAAAGTACATCACATCAACTGAGGTGAAACACACTTTCTCATTAACCGATTGTATTGCAACATGATATACAAAATACCCCATCTGATTTGAAGTAAAATGTTTGTAATGGCCATCTTTAATCATCGGATTGTTAATAAATGTTTTCAATTTCCAGAACAACACTTTTTACTCAATGAAGAGATGTAGCCGCTACTGTCTCAGTTAGATAAGAAAATTAATGGGTTGTCAAACCCATCCATGACTCATTACTGGCTCGTGGACTCAGAGGTTGTGTATGCGTCATATCTTTCAACTGGTACACTAACTTCTGTAGCCTCTTATCTCCGAAAACCCTGTGGGCTATATGCATATATTTAGAAGAGAATCTGGTAAAAAGGTCATGCCGGTAGTTGATCACAGATTTCAAAATGTAAATGCAGTTTAGCCTACGGTTGACGATATTCACATATACAAAGGCATATAAGAAATAGCTGTCGATTAGAGATTATAAGAAGAGGACACAGCCTGAGGTTTGAAAAACAACAAAACCTGGTTTGAACAACTACAGAGAAAAATGTAAACAACCAACTTGCAAAACATTGAAATCACGTTCTATTCTGTGTTAGGCAGAGAAGATTCGGTTCAAGCAGAGTAGATTAATAAACACATGTACAGCGCGAAATTAATCTTTCATTTAACAATAATCCCATAAGAGAATCGTGAAGCCTACTTGGATGCTCAAGATTTGGTAATACAACACATAGATTTACAAAAGTGTAAACTGTTTTCTATCACATTAATCAAATAAATAAAATGATTCTTGAGAAGACAGTTCCCTCACTCGTAAATTTCAACCTTCAGATGGTGAGTATATTGACTTATATCTTCTTACTCCGAATGAGAAGTCCAATAGATGAGTCCACTGCAGGAGAGGAATATGTTAATATAAATTGATATCAATTAGCTGATAAGACAGCATTCAATACACTATGGATGGTCTAAAAGAAACTTGAGAATAAAAATGACTTGGCATGAGATTCCATCTGTGAAAGTGAGCCTGTCATGTGCTGGTGAATATTGATGTCTATGAGTCTACTGTGTGTCTGTAAGAGAGAGAAATAAGGTCATCTCCATGAGACAGGAAAATTTTTAATAGCTATGGACTAGACAGCGCTTGTTTGCATGTTTATTTAGGTCAGAAAGACACTTCTATGAAAAGAAAATTCATTAAATAAGATCAAATTAATTAGTAACAAAAGACCTTCCATCAACTCCAGTAACTAAGAAACCAATCCTTACTATGTTTTTAGAACGCAGAAGAGTACTGGAGAATTAGTTTAACAGGATACTGATTATAAAATAAATACTCACCGACTGTAAAAGTGCTCTTACATTTTGAAATATAAGACAGACAACAACCTTACATCTTAAAAGCTATTTACCTGATCAATACAAACACACACTGCAAGACACCCGCAGTTCCTGTCCACACTGATGGACCAGTTGTCACAAGTGAATCCTGTATTAATAGGCCAACTGATGCCGCTAGAGAGACAAAGGATACAACATAAGCGAAAAAAAGCCAGAGCTTCAATCTGTTGCAATAAAGAGAGAGATTAGCACCCATCACCCAAAACAAGCAAACACCTATGGGTTAATATAATATGTGATAAGCCAGCATAAGCTAGGATTTAAAAAAAAAAAAGGTATGATTGATATTACTGTTCAAATATATGCAGCAGTGCCATACAAACAGAGAGTGTAAGAAAGTAAAGAATGAATTCATGCAAACCAATCAGAAAAATGGAACTCAAATATATCATCATGCTTCTGGCAAAGGTCAAATAATCAAACTTCTCAAGCATCAGTTAGATACAATGGAAAAGTCAACTGCAATAACAAGCAAATCCCTTTTCTTCCGTCATTTTAAAACTGTCATAGGTTTGCTCACACAAAGACGCAAGTATACCATTAAAGCCTAGATTTATTTAAAATAGAAAAAAGGGCAAAAGGTGATTATAAAATCCCTCTACTTGTGCCAGTTGAAAAAACAAAAATAGTGAGTCAGGGCTCACAAGATTCAACTGAGAAAACAGGAGATCATTATACGCTTCATCAATTGTTACAAACAAATCATGTACCTATATAAAGACTGAATTTAGTGGTACTAATCTTAGTAATAAGATGAAACTGCTATACCAAGCCACAATAATGAAATTGAAAAGGTTGTATCTTAGAAGAAGAGCAAAACCGTAAAGTTCTAATGACATAAGACAGCAGAATGAGAAACATTCAGTTTAAGGTTCTCTTCATCACATGATAGCTGAAGTAAGCTGGTCCATTGCTTACCATAGACAAAATTCCTCAAACTACTAGGCAAGCTTATTTTTCCATAGGAACAAGCTACAGAGTGAAACATTAAATCAATATATATGTCTGCATGTAAATTATTAGCACTCCTGGCAAAGAAAGAAAGGCAGGTTCAGGCGATTAATCACTAAAATCTTTTCTTCTGTTTCTTTATGACAGAGCAATTGAATGATGCGATGCGGCTGCAGGGCCTCTAAGATTATGAAGAAGCTATTCATTAATAAAAGACCTTCGGCATGATTGTAGTAGAGTAGTCGATCTGATCCTGCACGCAGGCGGATAGAAATGCCTATAGATGAGGTAGGCAAGGGTAGTTTGCGGGCAAAAGGCGTGTATGGTAGTCTTTTGTTTGATGAGAACGGGGAAGGGCAATTTATTGCAACCTTTTTCGGCCTATTTAGTGGGGCCAACTGGAAGAAGACAGCATGGGGCAAAGCAAAGGGCAGAGCTTCTAGCAATGATTAAAATGAGAATTATGGGCTGGCAATCAATTGATCAACAGATTAAATAATGCACTCTGGATGGCCAGAAGATTCTCAGAAAACTTATATCATCATCACTACCAAAACCATCATTGTTTCATCATTCACAAAGCTTCCAGGGACTGATTAACCAGCCATCCCATGTTACTAGTGGCATATTTAAACTAATTAATGGGCAAAAAATTTTAACCATACTTAACACCATCAGCTTTATGAGCTTCCCTTCATAATACAGTGAGATAGCCAGACAAGTAGAATCTCAAAGCTATAAGCAAAGATTCCACCTAAAGATGAATCATTGAATTTAAGAATCAATAATGATGCTAAATACTTCACTAATCACTGTCAGCATTATCCTTTTCATAAATCACCAAGCACATGAAATTCTTCCTTTATCTTTTTGATTGATTTATTCAGAAATGAAAGCCACAAACATCAACCTCAGTCTTACAATTCGTCTGATGAAGTTTATGCACTCACAAAAGTCAATTTATAAATCAACTTATGCACTTAACAAATAAAGTTCAGCGAAGGGATTGAATTCATTCCCAGCAAAAAAACAAAAAATAAAAATAAAACAGGTAAAGAACAAAGAACTAAAAGCTTAGGACGAAAAGAAAATAAACAAATTAAATAGCATAAGTTTCATAAACTAGAAACAGAATCCAGCATCCACAAGCTCGATCAGCTAAAGTAGTAATAACTGATCCAATTCTGAAATCAAATTAAAGCATAATCAACGAAACTTGTAATAGAACAATTAAAGTTAAACGCTAACCTCCACTCCCCTTCTTCGTACGGAGAATAATCAATGTCCTCTTTTCTCACGCAGTTGAACATCAAAGCGGCAATTGACGCAAAAATACCTGCCGAAAAAGATAAATAATCATATAGACAATCAAAACGCTACAACAGACATGTACATACAGAAAGGGGAGACGAGGGAGGACCAGGAAGGTAGTGAACGAAGGAGACTTTAACTGAACTACAAACGACGGCGTCGATCCAGAACCACCAACCGGCTCCAAATACGGCCCCAGCCACGCCGGGCCCGAAGATTGCCCACAGCTCCGCCAAATCCATTTTAGGGGAAGGTGACTCGCTTCGCTAAACTTCCAGCCGAGTTTCAACTGTTAATTCGGTCTTTCTCTCTCCTCTGCTTTCTTTGGTGTTTCCTCGAGTACACTTTCCTTCTTTAAAATATTTTATTTGTAAATAAAATTATTTCAAGTTTTTTTTGGCTGAGGATGACTTTTCATGACCTCATTCTTTGGTGGTAAACATTTGGGGATAAATTCCTCCTTTATGTTTAGTTTAATATTTCGTAGTAATATCTCAAGTTTTTCTAAATATTGATTTAAAATTATAATATATAATTAAATTTATAATTATAATTAAGATGACATTTGTAAAACATAAACCAGGATAACTACAATTGAACCAATTTTAAGAAAATGATAGATTCATGGGTGTGTCTCGAAGTGGCAAATGACGTATTTGTATTTGGTAATTTGGAAAATAGGAACAAAATGAATCCTCAAGGATATCAACTTATTTTGTTAAAATGCAAATACTTTAATTAATTTCTTATTGATTTTGATTTTTGTATTTGGATAGAGAGTAAAAGGAGGAAAGTTATTTTATTTTATTTTGATTAATTGTATTGATTGTTGACTTTGTATAATCAGTTTTTGTGGAGAAAATGAACGAGGGAAATTGAAGGATTTTTGGATACAATAATACTTTATATATAAAGACCTCTCATGAAAGTAAGTAGACCGGGTGATGTAACAAAAAAATGATAGTAAAAGTGAATATAATGAGTTTGATTTTCTCAATTCAATTTTTAATACATTATTTATAAAAATCTTTCTAAAATAACTTTGTATGAGCAATAATATTTTTTACATAATAATACTACTGCTCATACAAAGTAGGAAAAAAATAGGAGAAAAAGAGACGTTAGGGTAACCAAATCTTTTATTCATTTACCAAAGATTTCTATATCAATATTACCCTTTTACCTTTCATCTATTTAATTTAACAACTTCATAATGTTCGGGTAATTGCAGGGGGTTTGAAGTTATACATGATACCTCAAAGGTTTAGAGTACATATAAAAAATCTCGATGATTTAGAATACAATAAAGATAGGTTGACACATTAAACCTCATAAACTTTCTCTCACAATTCTAGCGTGACAGCTGGTTTTTATTTTCTGATGAATTTTCCCACCTGTTGACATTTCCTAAGGGTGTGGTGGGAGTGTCATGTTGGGTTTGTGAAATTCATTTGTCAACATAGTATTGCTCTTTAGAATATTATCACTTTCAAATCATTAAAAATAGTTTTATGTTTATATGTGGTTGTTAAGCTTGGGACGGTAACAAATTTAATTGAAACCTATCCTTAAAATAAATTGAGTTTATAATGAGTATGGGTTGGATTTGAGATATGGTATCACCCATCTATCAATAAAAGTGATTTTAAGTAATAAATCAATACTTCAAATATCTAAGGAGGATTCTTGAACATCTTATTAGATAAATGGGCATGAGGCAAGCACTGTAATTGTCACTCAGCCGCGTATAAAACTCACTATTTTAAAAGTGGGCCCGGCCTGGCCAATTTAACCGGGACTCTGAAGCTTCATCGGAGCGGGTTTACATTTTTCTTATTCACCCCAAACCTTAGAATTTTGGATGATGATCAGTGAACAATTGGAAGTTAGGATATTGGGGCTTTCAAAGAGAATGTGCTGGTGAGTGCAATGGTGGCAACGGAGTTAATTTCCGATGAGTGAATCGATTGAAAATCCAAAAAAACTAGCGGCAGCAACAATCGGCTTTTAGGGTGAGGTGAGGTGAGGTGGGTTTTCGTCGGGAGGAAGAGGGGAGTACTTTCGGGGTGATAAGGAGGGTTGTCGACGCCGACGTCGATGAGATTTGGCCTGGAATGTAGACACTAGTGTTGGTGAGATTTGGCCGATCAGACCGGTTAAACCAATCAACTTGAGATCCAGCAACTTTGCTGAGTTTCACCTCGGGATGAGTTTTAAAACATTGTGTTACAACTAACAGAGTTATATATNTATTTTGAGTTATTGTAGTTTAATATTTGCATTGAATAAAGTTCTATTTTTAATTTTTCATCATTTTTTAAATTATATCATTATTATAAATTTATTATTATAAATAATAATCAAATTAAATTAAATACAAATACTCAAATTTGGTGTGATTTTTGGTGTAAAATTTAATACTCAAATTAACTTAACAAAATTTAAAAAAAAAAAAAAACCAAAATTAAAAAAAATATATTTTTTTTTGCTACAGTACCACGCCATTTTGACGTAGTGCTACAGTGCTGCACCAAATTTGGTGCAACACTGTAGCACTGCGCCAAAATGACGCAGTGTTTAGCGTGGGTTGGAGTGCCAACCCACGCCAATTTGGTGTTTTTTGCACCATTTTGGCGTGGGTTGGAGATGCCCTAATGAGTTTGATTTTCTCAATTCAATTTTTAATACATTATTTTATAAAAATCTTTCTAAAATAACTTTGTATGAGCAATAATATTTTTTAGATAATAATACTACTGCTCATACAAAGTAGGAAAAAAAGAGGAGAAAAAGAGACGTTAGGGTAACCAAATCTTTTATTCATTTACCAAAGATTTCTATATCAATATTACCCTTTTACCTTTCATCTATTTAATTTAACAACTTCATAATGTTCGGGTAATTGCAGGGGGTTTGAAGTTATACATGATACCTCAAAGGTTTAGAGTACATATAAAAAATCTCAATGATTTAGAATACAATAAAGATAGGTTGACACATTAAACCTCATAAATTTTCTCTCACAATTCTAGCGTGACAGCTGATTTTTATTTTCTGATGAATTTTCCCACCTGTTGACATTTCCTAAGAGTGTGGTGGGAGTGTCACGTTGGGTTTGTGAAATTCATTTGTCAACATAGTATTGCTCTTTAGAACATTATCACTTTCAAATCATTAAAAATAGTTTTATGTTTATATGTGGTTGTTAAGCTTGGGATGGTAACAAATTTAATTGAAACCTACCCTTAAAATAAATTGAGTTTATAATGAGTATGGGTTGGATTTGAGATATGGGATCACCCATCTATCAATAAAAGTGATTTTAAGTAATAGATCAATACTTCAAACATTTAAGGAGGATTCTTGAACATCTTATTAGATAAATGGGCATGAGGCAAGCACTGTAATTGTCACTCAGCCCTGCATAAAACTCACTGTTTTAAAAGTGGGCTCGGCCCAACCGATTTAACTGGGACTCTGAAGCTTCATCGGAGCGGGTTTACATTTTTCTTATTCATCCCAAACCTTAGAATTTGGGATGATGATCGGTGAACAATTAGAAGTTGGGATATTGGGGCTTTCGAAAAGAATGTGCTGGTGAGTGCAATGGTGGCAACGGAGTTAGTTTCCGATGAGTGAATCGATTGAAAATCGAAAAAAACTAGCGGCAGCAACAATTGGCTTTTAGGGTGAGGTGAGGTGAGGTGGGTTTTGGTCAGGAGGAAGAGGGGAGTACTTTCGGGGTGATAAGGAGGGTTGTCAACGTCGACGTTGATGAGATTTGTCCTGGAATGTCGACGCTAGTGTTGGGGAGATTTGTCCTGGAATGTCGACGCTAGTGTTGGTGAGATTTGGTCGAAATTGAACCTATTTCTACCAAATCTTGGGTAGATTTTTAGGGGTATGGGCTAAAGGGACGATTGGGGTTGCATTTGGGGTGTTGCTGTTGTCAACTAGTTGTTGATTGATTTGTATTTGGGGTGTGTTTAGTAAACTTCAAACCTATAGGGACTTAATAAATTTTTAGGGGTATATTTGCCAAATTTTAAAAGTTCTATAACCCGGTTGGACTGGCCGATTAGACTGGTTAAATCGATCAACTTGAGATCCAGCAACTTTGCCGAGTTTCACCTCGGGATGAATTTTAAAACATTGTGTTACAACTAACAGAGTTATATATATATATATAATCGTGAGAGATATGTTACTCTATGATAGCTCTAGGATTTTCAAAAAGTTATAAATACCTCCTTACCGTTAGAACAAGTTTTAAAAAGGCCAATTGAAGTCAACTCAATTAAGGGTATTTTAGTTGTTTTGTTAGAATAAACATGAATATTTTCCCTCCTTTCTATGAGTAATACTACTTATCACAAAAAATATTTTAAAAATTATATCCTAAATGATGTGTCACCATATGTGGATATTCTGAAGCTTTTAACGTATTAATTTTCTGATATTAGAGTTAGTTTTATGTTTTGTGAGTCTGATTGAATCAAGGGCTACATGTCAATAATCCGTTAAACATGTTTTTGAATTTGACAACGGATTCTTGAGTTTGACTTAAAACTCTATACTTGAAAAAATATCAAACTTTGAGTATCAATTTTCAAATATCAGTGATACACTATAGTTACTTTTATGCTTCATGAGCCTGTGACCAACTAACCATCTATATATTTATCTATATATTAATATAATCTTAAGACATACTCTATTTAATTAAAATGTAGGATTTTTTAAGATATAAGTTGCTCATTTTGATATGTTGAATGATTGTCCAACATGTGACTACATGTGATTGGTGATGATGTGGGATATGTACATTTGGCTGTATGTGATTGGTGATGAGGTAGGATATGTGGATGAGTAGGATTTTTGGTTACATGTGGCTTAATATAATTGGTGTTTGATAGACATGTAGGATTTTTTAAGCTCTGGAATTGCTTCATTTTGATATGTTGGATGATTGTCTGACATGTGGGTGCATGTGAATGTGACTGATAATGATGTGGGATATGTGGATGAGTAGGATTTTTGGTTAAATGTGGCTTAACCTAATTAGTGTTTGATATTTTTTTTAGTATTAATGACATATAGTACACTGAACAGTCAATAGTAAATTGGTCATAACTTGTTCTAGTAAATTGGTCATAACTTATTCAATAAAAGTCTAATTGATGAACTGATTGAAGCATGATAGACATGACTTTAATTTGATATATTAGGTAACATATAATATATCAATCCATTCTTATATTATATGTTGGAATCATTATGCTGAAGGGATTCAGAAAAGAGTAGACAATTGGAGATGGTAAAGATCCTTTATGGAGTCCAAGGACC